GTGGCGCCGCAGCTGCTCCGCCAGCACCTTGACCGGCGCTGACCGCGGCACCCTCACCGCCGCCGAGCCGCCGCGGGAAAAGGAGTCCGCTACCGCCGCCGCCGCCATTACGCTCGGCGGCCGGTATTCCCGCCAACTTTGATAGGCAGAGGGGCCCGGCCCGCGGGCACCAATCAGGGGCGAGCTGGCGGAGCCGGCCAATGGTCGGTCAGAAGGCGGGACCTCCCGGTTGAGCGGCCCCCGCAGGCCGCCAGAAGTGCGCATGCGCACGAAAAGTAAATAAACGCCCCCAAACTAAGACTAAATGGGTACAATGAATTAAAAGAGAAGTGAATGGAGGGAGGTAAAGAACCTGTTTAATGTACGTCTAGATTTGGCGGCATGCACATCACCTGGAGAGCGTGAATATTCATCTTTGCATCGCCTTGCATAGGAGAGTACTCTGAGGTCAATAAATACTAGTAAATACTGAAAGGAACAGCAGCACCATCAGCCCGTGCTTATTAGAGTGATCAGGAACTGAGTCGAGAGAAGGCTGGGAAGAGGGACAGGGACAGCTAGTAAAATTGCCCTTCCTTTTATTTCTATTTTTATTTATTATATTTTAATAACAAAACAAATGAAAATATATTAAAATATATATATTAAAATATATATAACAAAATATATTACTATATTTCTCACAAAAGAAATGCACATTCATTGTAGAAAACTTAGAAAGGGAAATATAAACTAAGAAAAAATTACAAAAATCACTCAGATATATCCACTGTTACCATTTGGGTGTATTAGCATCCAAGTTTTAAAAAATACATGTAGGTATATAATTTTGATATTCGAATACTGTTTTGTATATACATATATATATATTTAGAGAGAAAGGAAGGGAGAGAAACGTCAATGTGAAAGAGAAACATGGGTCGGTTGCCTCCTGCACCCACCCTGGCCAGGGATTGAACCCAAAACCTCGCATGTGCCCTAACTGGAAATGGAATAGGCAACATTTCAGTGCACAGGACAATGCTCAGCCAACTGAGCCACGCCAGCCAGCGTTTCGTATATTGTTTTCACTTAATAATAAACATCTTTCCATGCTTCCTCTTGATTGACTGCATAATAATATTCTATTTGTCTCATCACCCATCTAACCAATATGCTAGAGTTGGACATTAAGGCTATTTCCAGTTTTTCACTTTATAAATCACTACTGTGAACCTACTTAGAGCTAAATCTTTGTGCACACATTTCAGATAAATTCCTAGAAATGGAATTGCTCCCTAAAAATTAGATGTCCTCAATCAGCAAAATCTACAAACCCTAAACCAAGCCTTAGGAGACTCTGTACTCCCAGGGCTTCAGAGGGTATTCAGCAAGACCTTGGTTTTTATTTATTATTATTATTTTAATATATTTTTATTGATTTCAGAGAGGAAAGGAGAGGGGGAGAGGGAGAAAGATAGAAACATCAATGATGAGAGAGTCACTGATTGAGCCCACAACCCGGGCATGTGCCCCGACCGGGAGTCGAACCCCGATCGCCTGGATCCTAGGTCGATGCTCAACCGCTAAGCTACGCCCGGCTGGGCAAGACCTTGGTTTTTATAAAGTGGCTAAGACATATTGAACCAGGCCCTGTCTTTAGAGCTTTGCAGGGATTATCCCATGGACCCACACACCCTGTAAAGACTGTGTTCTGCACAGATAAGGAAATAGGCTTGGGAAGCTAGGTAACTTGTCCATGGCCTCTCTGGCAATAACCTCTGTGGGATCCTGGCCTGAACACCTCAACCCAGAGCTACAGAGTAACCAGGCTCCTGGTTTGAAAAGGGAGCAGGGACATTAATCAAGAGAGAATCCCACCCCTTAATTCCTGGCTTCCCCAAGGCACTTGACGGCCAGAGAAATGATGGGGTAGGTAGCTGGGGTAAAGACAGAGGTTCCTAGGCCTCCTGAGCCTGGAAATATTCCACCATTCTCTTGGCCTTCAAAGTTACGTACACACACACCCCTCAAGCCCCATGCCTTGTTGCTGGCAGAGTTATCTTTCCAAAACATAAGTCTGAGCATATTGGCCCCTGGTTTATAACTTCCTGATGGTGTAATCCATATACCTGGAAGGTGAGCATTCCAGGCAGAGGGAACTGCACATGGAGGGCCCAGAGAGGAGAGGGAGAGGATGGGATATTAAGCAAACCGGCAGTATTTCAGAACAGCTGGATACAGAATACAAATTGAGGAGTACGCATAACCTTGTTACTTATCCCCACTTTTCAAGTGATAAAACTGAGGTTCAGGCCAATGACAAGCTTGAGGCCACATGGCTAGTGAGGCATGCCCATCTGACCCCAAACCTCATGGTCCTTGAACTACACATGCCATCTTACTTCCATACTGCCACTCACTTCCCCATCAAAGATTCCTCCATACCTTTGCTCATGTTGCTCTCTACCTGACATGCCTTCCCCACAATCTCTCCCAGGTAAAACCTGGCTCAGGTGGTGACCAAAGCTGCTTCTTTTCAGGAAGCCATCGTTGGTCTCTCCCTTGTAGACCAGTTTGCTGATACCACTAATCCAGGTGTCCGTATCTTAGCTCTACTGACATTTGGGGGTGGCTAATTCTGCATTGTGGGCTGTCCTATGTTCATTTAGGATGTTGAGCAATATCTCTGGCCTCTATCCACAAGATATCAGTAGCACCCTTCTCAAGTTGTAGCAACCCATGTGCTAATGTCCCCACAGGGCTAACTTACCCCCTGTGGAGAGCCACTGCCCTAATCTACAATACTCACAGCACTTTGTCTTGAACCATAAATATTTGAATCTGTGTCCAGCTCACTAGCTAGGCCAGGGGTCCAAACTCAGATGCCAACAGCAGCCAGCCAGGTAACCCTGGTGTAGCAGTGACAAACTGGCCTTCATGTGCCCTAACAAAGAGGCTGATCACACTCAGCTAATGGCTGCCCTACTCAGCCAATGGGCCCAGGGTTGCCAAATTTGATTTTTCAAGACATTTTTATGTGTAATCTTCACATTTAAAAAATTGTTGCCACCTGGCCAGGCGTGGCTCAGTGGTTGAGCATCGACCTATGATCACAGTTTGATTCCCAGTCAGGGATCATGTCCAGGTTTCGGGCTCGGTCCCCAGTAGGGGGCGTGCAGGAGGCAGCCAATCAATGACTCTCATCATTGATGTTTCTCTCTCTCTCCCTTTCCCTTCCTCTTTCTGAAATCAATAAAGATAAATTTTTAAAAAATTGTTGCCAACCTATTCAACTCTAAGACAAACAAACAAACAAACAAACAAACAAACAAACAAACAAAGGCTGTGTGCCCCTGAAAGCCATCTGTGGGTACTCTGGCCCATGGGCAAGCAGTCTGCAAACTCGGTCCCTGGAATGTGAGCTCTCCTGCTGCTTGGGCAGCTTGTGTGTTACATATGTGCAGCTCCTTAGAACCTCCTGAAAAATATCCAAGGGGCTGCTGTGTTTCACCAGCTCCTGGAGTTGCAAATTTAGAGTCAAATTATTGTTGTGAGCAGACAACTAGGGTGTGTTGACACATGCTGGCAGACTCACCTCCATGGAAGATTATGTCCTTCCCCACCCATCACCCTCACTCTGGGCCTGAAACAACCCCTTTGGCCCCAGCTTCCAAGTGAAATCAAAGCCTCCTGGAAAGGGGATTTCCTGCCACCTGAGAACAAAGGTAAGGCAAGGGGAATTCTGGGCCTTGGCCTCACACTTAACCTACCCATTGACCCAGGCAGATAAGGTCTAAAATGCTCTGGTTGCCTAGAACAAAGACCAAACCCTACCACCCTAAGAATAGAGGTTTGTTCTGGAAGGATATACGTGCAATGGCATCTTCAAAATAGCAGCAGTTAGCCGCACATTTACTATGTGCTAAGCACCACGCCAGGTGCTTCATGTGCAGAGTCTCATGACAACCCTAAAAAGAAAGTGTTTTTCTTAAGCCCATTTTATAGATGAAGAAATTGAGGCTTGGAGAAGTGATGTGACCTGCCCAAGACGACACAGCTAGTAAGAGATGGAGCCAGGGATTCTGATCCCCACCTGGAACAAAGGGTCCCTTCTCAGGTATCTTTCAATAATTAGGCCCCCAGGTGAAGGGGGCTCTTACCCACTATCCAGGGTCATCACCAGGGAAGAATTCCCTGGGGAATTAAAAATAAAAACAAAAATACAGGTTCTATAAAAAACACACAACTTGGAATTTCGTTAATGGGGTACATGCCGAAGTATGCAGGGGTTGGGGCGTATAGAAATGTCTACAACTTTCTCTGAAGTGCAACAAAAAGTAAGGCGGATGGGATGGGTGGATAGAGGACAGGTGGATAGAGATGTGATAAGGTGAGTAAACTGTTATTGTAGAATCTAAACGGTATGTTCATCGTGTTCACCACATGACTCTTTCAATAATACAGTGTCCGGGGTGAGTCAGACCCTAGAGTGATCCTAAGACCCAGCCTACTTGCTTACTTGTTGATAATGCCCTCCCCCACCCAGCGACAAGCAGGCTTCCTATTCCGTCATTCACATAACATTACCAGAAGGTCACTGGACAGACAGACACTTCTTGGCCTCTGGTGTCCCATTTCTTGACTCTAAGCCAGAGCATGGGGTCTTCCTTTCTACAGGCCCCAGCCATGGAAACCACAGGCCCAGGCCAGGGTGGGGAGAGGTGGAGTTACATGCCTCAATGACCAACAATCCTGGGTCTCCTGCACCAATGGTGATGCCTGCTTTTCCATGCACACTCAAGGTGACCGGCCCTACTAGCTTCCTGGAGGAGCCCCTAAGCAAAGCCCACTCTTTGGAAGTAAGAGCCATCCTTCCAGGCTAATAATAACAACAGCAACTGCTTCTGCCACTACTACTACAGGCCATGCATGGTGCCAGCTGCTATGTCTATGTCTGCTCATTTCACCCACAAACCCCTGCCAGGGACCTTTGCCAAGGAGGAAAGGGGGGCTCAAAAGGCACTGAGCCTACAGCCATCAAACCCATGTGGCAATGCAAGATTCTCATGCAGGAGGGCTGTGGTGCAAGCCTGCAACCTATAAGTACCCCAACATTGTATTATTGAAAGAGCTGTGCAGAGCCCACCATTTATATTCTACAATGAACAGTTTACTCACGTTATCGCATCTCTACCCACTGTCCTCCTCTCTATCCACCCATCCACCCACTTTACTTTTTGTTGCATTTCAGAGAAATAAACTCACATATCAATGGTCAGTTG